AGAACATCAAATTAATTGTCTCTGAGAGATTGCGGTTTATTCTTGGCGTAATAAAGTTAATATACAATGCTTTCCGCAATCTTATCAGTTTTGTAAGAATAAACATTGAATGAAATAGAAATATAGTTATGGAAAAGACCTTTTTTTATCAGTTAAGGAAATTGTTTCAAAAATTTGATAAAAGCTTTGATTAAGCCAGCCAGACAGTTTGAAATGGCAGCCTTTTTGGAATTCGTAAATGTTATTTCCGCGCTTGTCTAAATCAGTTACACCCATTTGTTCTTCACTGATGCTTCAGACGAAGACGATTAATTAGCTCTAATTGGATACTACATTAGTTTCTCGCCATCACTCTTACTTTACTCTCGATATTACTTTTAATATTCAGAAATAACGAGCGAGGAAACAAGTAATCGGAAATCGTAGCTATGTAATGATTGTATCTGAGTGTTTTTTACAAAAACACTCCACTGAGTTAATTAGATATATTGTGCTTGCTGTTACTGCAAATTACTTTATTGATCTATAATATTTCAGTAGTGATTACTGAATTGAATAAGAGAGAAGAGCTCTTGATTTCTGGAATGGCTAGTAAGAAATTAACACTATACAACGCTGGATGTGTGTCCCTCTGATGCACAGTACTAATATCACAAGAATAACTTTCATATATCACTCGAGTTGAATATTAGCTATATTGTCCATCATTGAATAACTTCAAGAAACTGTATATTGTCTTCCGGGGTCGACCTTGGTTGACGTTAAGAAGTAGTGATTTTAATAGGATATTACGATCATCGATAGCCAGTGAGAATCCTTGAGGTCGGTTGCCATGGATATCAAGGTGTTTTCCTTGTAAAAATCAATCTGTACTGACTATATAGTTCATGGTACTCGGAACCAGAGGGTGAACCAGTTTACTACATCTTCGTATGCGGGGCAGCTATGAGAATAGTCTGATGTCTTGGCTCTTCAAAGCGGACTCGCTCACTTCAGATAATATATCGTATTGATAAGAAATTTAAGGTGCAGTTCCAAGACAAGGCATTGAAATATCAAGAAAAATTCACTTAAAGAAAAAAAAAAGGTAACTTCGAGTTTCTAATTTTGATGTGAAACTAGAAGAAAATTCCCATTCGTTGAACTGTAAATTTGGGCTTCACATTTCGTCGACACGCATATCCTGAAACAGCTACTGCCTGATCCAAGTCAAGGCACGGCTAACTCGAAGATCAAATTAAAATTTAACTTGTTAGGTTTTGTCGAGGGAGGAAAACCAGAGAACCTTGAGAAAACCCTTTTCTTTGAATCAAGGAAAAGAAATATTCATCCATGTTGTTTTTAGCATCACTTTTAGCTTTCTCTTTCTACTGCTAATTACGGAGTTAGTATAGCATATTTAATGACTAACTTTSCTTGGTAATGACAAATTGATAATGTCTTTATCATGAAATCAAATACTCCATGATTTAAAAAAAATCTTTTTTCGTGCGTATAGATTTTAAAAACATCCTGACTGTTTATCATGCGATGATTCCAAGTTGAACTACATTCAGCACTTTCATACTTTGCGCCGAACGGTCGTCGAAAATTTTTACCGCAGCCAAAATTTATTCATAAGAGATTTAATCAGAAAGAGATAATATTAAAGGAACTATCAATAGTGTTTTAGGAAAGCGCTTCCGTGGTATTTTATTTCGCAGTTCATGGTTGACATGTTTCYGCGTAAACAATATACTTAATTTAGTCGCGCAGTCATGAATATTTAACACAATAGATAATGCACTTTTAACACATAGATAAAGCACTTTTGGGCCAAAAAATATGCAGCAGTTAATGCGATTTTGGGACTTTTGTTGCGGATCAACTATCATTAAATATCTGAGGAAAATTCTCCTACGTTTAAGACCCATAGGGAAATAATATTCTCGAAAAAAACTTGGAGTGCAACCACGTTACCGAAATTTCCCTTATATAAATAACAACGAAACAGCCGATATTTTTGTTGATCTAACAAGAGAAGCCAATGAAAAATGCTTTGTATAGTCGACCAACAGGCTGTAACGTAACATGCACCTCAAGAATAGCAGATTGGAGAGAAAACCAAGTTCATTTCTC